TCCAATCAGCCAAGGACTTTTCTGATTTAGCTTCTCAATTAGTCACAAAAACACGTGTGATTTATGTGTCATCCTTTGAAATTTATGAAAGGATTAAAAGTGCATCGCCGTGGGACAATGCCAAAGCGATAAGTGGAATTTTCAACTTCCATTTTATTAAAACTGCGGAGAAAGTTGTGGAGTGCAGAAAACACTGCCTTTCCCAAGACAAAACTGTATTTACATATTGATGTTTACGTATATTATAGATTTAAGTTGAACTATGTATGTCCCGTACGTGACGCGATTTGTCTGTACGTGACAAATATAAAAAAATGTTTTTGAATTATAAATATGTGTTTTAACTAATATTTTTTTCGCTAGTAGCAAGCTTGATTCTTAGTTATAATTTCCTTCGAAGACACTTTTTGTGCACCTGTAATATATTCGCTGAAATCTGAATAAAACTATAACGATTTCGAATGTTGGTTGACTTGATGTGTTTGAACTTGTATGTACGTAACAGTAGAATGCACCTAATGGAGATGTCCGCAAGCGTCCATTTAAGAGAGCTTTCACTGTATTCTTTATGAATCGTTTTAACTATCCTATCTTCTACGTTGGTACGAACTGAACTCAGTGCGCCAACTTTTACTAAAATCGGTTCCGTAGTTTATGTAGGAGTCCATCACAGACAAACAACGTGACACGTACTTTTTATATTATATAAAAAGATATCGAATTTATATTATATAAAAATTAGATCGATGAGCTAAGTCTATAGCTTCGCCTCGCGCACCAAAATAAAATAAAAATATTCATAAATAGTATAGTTTAATTTTTCTAAAATATGAAATCGAAGCCAACTTCTTAGTCCTCGAGTAAACATTAACTTCGAAACCATTATCCAAGTGTAATTAAATGTACTATTTATTACTCTTATGAAATGTATATTAAACATTTTTCTCTGCTTTTTATTTCTCCTGACAAAAACTTTAGCATCTCATTTTTCAATGCTTAAAGTATATCCGCAAACTATTGTAATAAAAATTTAATTTTATTTTACGTATATTTCCGTCTAGGGAAGGGATAATTTAAAACTTCCTCTCGTCATTATGGGAATAATATCAATGATTGGTGGGCTCACAAGTTTAAGGCTACCCGAAACTCTTCATGAACGACTTCCTCAGACCATTGAAGAAGGCGAGAGTTTCGGAAAGGACTGGTCAATGAAGCAATGTTTCAGTTGCTATTCGACACAGTTAAGTAAAAATAAAAAATTATAATTTGATTTAAAAATGGAATTATCTATCCTTTTTAGGAAATTAGTATCAAAACAAGATTCGTACGAAAACCTTCACGTCCTTTCCTGCAAAATAAATAGTGACTCCAAATCATCAAATCAATATCCGATAACAATCGACCGGTCTGAAGGGGCTTCAATAAAGCGTTTAGTGCGTCAAATGAGCGTCATGGATACACAGCGAAATATTGATGGAACAATGCAGCTAACCCACTGGATTTAAACTCTTGAAAATTATGTCATAACTCATAATGTCAATAAGAATCAAATAAGTGTAAAAAGTAATAAGAATATGAGCAAATAATAAAATATTAACTCTTGAATTCAATAATTTATAATAAAAATTAAAAAATATACAAACAGATAAAAAACCCAAACCTTTTATATTTTTGAAGAAATATTATGAAAATATGCCTTTATTAACTGGTTTGTCCGGAAAGTAATAGAACTGATTTCGTTTACCAGCGCGCACCCACTGGATTCGGTAGAGGGCGTTCCTAGCTAATGAAAGACCGGCTGGTTGGGTATCTCCTGGAGAGTCAGGACAAACATTTTCGCGCGACGTGTTTCCGTGAGTAGTGCAAGCCGAAAATGCAGCGTTCGTTAGAACAGAACTACGCAGTAAATCTGCGACAGAGACATTTGATATGATCAGATGTTGTTTTATAAAAAAGTGGTGTGTTTTGGTAGCACCAAATCTTTTTGGAGGGCCGGGAAGAGGTCACTGATGAATATCATGCTGGAAGACCTACGACTTCGACAAACACCGACAATGTAACTAGTGTGCGCAACTCTTTTGAACTCATACCATCGACTAAGTATTTGTTTAATTCCCATATTTTAAATTTATCAAAATCTGTGGTTCATGACATTGAATCTCAGATGTCAGTCTCAGAATCTCAGTCTCAAATGAAGTGAGTATTTGAACATTTGTGAAAGTGACCCCCAATTTTTTAATAACGTAATCACAGGTGACGAGTCATGCATCTTGCCTGAAAGGGTCGATGGAAAGCAAATATTTTGAGATGACAGAAAGGATGCATGCACCTCGGTCCTCAAAGTTTTTCGGAGAATACCTTCCACGACGACTTTAATGCTTTGAAAACGCGCCTACAGCGCTGCATCGACTCAGAAGGAGCACACAATATTGGTATTTCTACTATGAAATTGAATGATACCAAATATGTGGATCACATTGCTTATAATTATGACAAAAAAATTTTCTGAAATAAATCTTTTGGCTTCACCGAATAATTGGTTAAAAATATGTGTTATTGCATAATCGGTCTAGATGTTCTTTATCCAGATATATTGATTTAATTTCTCTTATATGACTAATATATGTACCCATTAAATTTGGCCAATAAAGTTCATATAGTTCATAATTTTATATTTTATTAACCTTATATTCAAAAGTGTTACAGGTGAGTAAATTACAAAGTTGTTAGTTATATAACAGTTAATAGTATTAATTAGGTAAGAATCTGTAGTGTAGAACATTCATTATTTTTAACCGTAACTTTAATAATTTTTAATTAAAAGCATTTAAATTTGATTGAGCTTCGTACTCTTCGGTGCAAAATATTTTTGGGTAATCTAAATCTAGCTAGCGCAAATAGATTCGATGATGCTCCTACAGGTGAGATTACAACATATAGTTGACAATGGAAAACACGAGTTTTCCAAATACGCGCAGCAAATGGACATTGTTGTTTATATAGCACTATTGTGGCTTGACGAATGTTGAATTAAACTTTCAACTGAAAAAACTTAGGTTATATTCCTAACAAAGAAGTATATTCCGCCGATAGTAGACATAAAGACTACAACATAGACCCTGAGGACACAAAACGTTGTCCAACATCTGGGTGTACGATAATATGGGAGAAGCCGAAAACCAAGTTACGACCCGAAATACCACATACTATTAAACAAAAAAAAWAAAAATGTATATAGTAAAGTCAACCGGATTTTCAAAAATCCTGATATAAGTTATATTTTTGTCTAATTTGATCTATTTTCGGCACACCGTTATGACTAAAAAAGCTCAGCAATTTTCGTTGAATAATCCAAATATGCAGTCCAAAGTCAACCGGAAGTTCGACAATTTTTATATAAGATATAGGGGGGCTAAGGGAAGTATTGACCTCATTCAACCCCCTTTTTGGTGCACAGAATTACTATTTCTTTCTGAATTTCAATTATATATTCGATTTAAATTTTTGGTTATAAGGTAACATACACTAAACATATTATTCGTGCAAAGTCTTATACCTAGAAGAAGAAGTACACATCGTGTAGTAGAATATGAGAAGAATGATATTATRTGTACTAAATATGAGTTGGATATTCGCAAAATATTTGCACGAGCTTTGTTTCTTCGATGACAAATAACTTTTTATGAATTGTCAAACAAAAGAGAATAACGGATTACTCGTTCCTACTATTGGCATAACTTTGACAAGTTTCTTTTGATACGGGCGTTAAGTTCGGAAAGGCGGTACATCGGTAACTAAATAAAAATTAGTTCGYGTGGTTACCTTAGCATTTGATGGAATTCGGCGCTGTAAACAGTATCAGATAATAATATTTTTACGTTTTATGGATATATATACATACATATGTTGTTGATTTCAAACTCTCATCTAATTTAGATCTTTATTATTTAATTACTAGCTGACCCCGCACCCGTTGCCCTGCGTGTAATTATGTGTTTTGCAATAAAAAGAAAGTTGAATTTATCATTTAATTTTTTCTTCAATGTAACATAACTTGACAAAAATCAAATTTTGTTTTCTGTTCCGGTGCACAGAAAAGATGGTTTTCCAACTCGTGAGGACGCCATGTACATATATCTGGACTTGTGAAAAACATAGCATTTCCAAATTTACCCCACACACTATGTGACTATCCTTCAGTAATGTTGATTGTCATCTCCAATGCAATTTTTACTGGAAAAGAAATACGTTTGAACTAAAATGACAAATCGTTCGAACTCAAAGAAATGCGTAGAATAAAGCCCTCTGCCACCCCTTGTATTCGATAGTGCAGATTACGAAACATAATAACGACAAAGATTATAGAAATTACACTGGATAATTCACGACGTCGTCTTCATTGTCAAGACGATCGATCGATTTGTATTAGTCTCCCGGAATTTGACTTTGAATCTTCCAATTTAAGTCAACAACATCGGAATTTTTTTTAGTTTGCATTGCACGTGTACTTAAAGGATCGTAGATACGATAATTTGGACAATGTCCGAACATTCGTGATGAGTTCGTCTTTCGTGAATTGATAAACGGCGGATGGAATTTATATCGGACCACCGGAAGTATCAACGGACCTCTGACGAAAGTTGAGAAACAACTCGTAAATGTTAATTTTCTCTGGGTTGAAATACAGTCTTTAGGCATCCAAATTAACTACTAGACGCACAACAGTTGGAAAATGTTCTTGAATTGCAAAAGTAAATATCCTACAAAGCGCTTTATTGCAGTTCACGTATCGACCGTATCGTTCAAGACCAATAACCGCCATGTTGGTTCCTTTGGTGACGTACTTACAAACTTATTTTATCGCTTACACCAAATTGCAATACTCAACATTAACATTTGTTTTGAATGTGAATTAGACAATAAATAATATAGTATGATCCATGTGTTGTCAACTTCGATATTCACTCTTCTAAATTGAATGCTGAATGTTCTTCCATTGTCATTTGGTGAGCGACGCCGATACAGTGGATATCCATTATTTCTAGTTTGTGTTTTCGAAAGAAAAGCACGTGGATAGTGTTTCGTGCATTTATTGTCAGACACACAAACCGAAGTGGGATTGTAGTGTCCGCAAGGTCCGTGAACCATATTGGTTTTAAATCCATCAAGCATGGTGACAGTTGTTTCAAAAGTTGTGCTGTAACATCGTGGCGATCGCTTGCTGATTGACCGCGATCCACAATTCCGCACGTATGTCAYCGCATCCTGGGAATACTTCTTCCCTTGCCTTGCTTTGGGCTGCCATACGTTGATGGCAAAAAGAACGCCGACCAATATTAGGGCGGCCTCTTCGCGGATTAGTAACAAATTTCAATGAGCAATTGATCACTTTGTGTGAAACACACGTAAAATTTTCACTAAATAATTTTCAGTAATTTTTCTTTTGGAATAAAAAAGAAAACGACTGAAATTGAACGGTCAAATAATATACAATTCAAAATATTGAAAAACAAAACAAAAAAAGTGAAAAAAAAACTTATACCTTATAATTTGATCAAGATTGGTGCAGCAGTTCTCTTAGCGTTACCAACATTCATTCCTGTGTATGGGAAAAAGAGAATGGCTGTTTTTAAGGGTTTTCCGGAAATTATTTGAAGTTTTCTTACCGTAAAAGTCATCATTGAACCTAAGCGAACATTTAGAAAAAAGAATTGGCCAAATTGGTCCCGGCGCTTAGCAACACATTTTGCGATTAATTTTTATATATGCGAAATGCCTTTGGGTAGGTAGCTAATGTAGTGCTTGTTTTGAGCTCTTGAACTCCTTAAATCTTTTGTGTAGAACATAAAAAAAGGACAAATATTCTTTTGTTTACAAATGTATTTCTGGAAAAAATAAGATAATAACAAAGGGTAATAAAGAGCCTTTTTTCACCAATGTATTTCTGGGAAAAATAAGAATTCAGATTTTTGGACTACTATAAAATAATTGTGGCATAACTTTTATATACCAATTAAAATAATAAATTTAAAATGAGAAATGATTTTTTGATTTATGCTTGTATAAGGTTATTAAATTTAAGACTTCCCAACCCAGTTTGCATAATATTTCTATAAATTAACGATATTAAACTAAATATTAATTTTTTGAAAAAATGTTATTTTGAAAATGTACTTTTATTTTATAATATAACACAACCGTCTTAACTCGCTCTTCTAATTTTCATATTACCGTTGGCATATGTGGAAATGGAATATGTTGCCTCGGCGAAATTTTCATAGCAATGAAAACTGCGCTGTTAAAATGCTGAAGTGACAGCTTCTAGCTTACGATATATTGCAAATGTGTTTCACTGTGAACAGACGTATTTTTTCTCTGCTCCGCGTTTTATTATTTATTCTATATTAATGCTGTGTGTTTGCGGTCATAGAAAATTCTATTCTATCCGTTCGCCGCCTGCGTCGTCATCAGTGCGTAATGCTCATTGTTCTGATATCTTAAATTCGCAACAACAAAACGGTGAACAATCAAATAACGAATTGTCTGGACCTTTGTTGGAGCCTAACAATCCAAATAAGGTAAATGAGTTGCTTAATTCTCTGGTG